TTCAATTAGCAAATTACATGCTTTTTTAAAGGAGGGAAACAGGGAATAACCTAAAAAAGCAGGTTGTCATTCTCATCCCTCATCCCACCCCAACCCATTGGGTGCCATCTTTATTCTCAGCATTTTCTTCACAACTGGGAATTGACCAGGTAAGCCTAAGTAATCCTGATTTAGAAATTAAAGTTCATTAAGTAGATTTTTAGAAGTATGAACTTTAACCACCTAACAAATTTAAATTCTTTGCTTCTATGATCATAAGTTATTAACAGTATTTGAATGGTGTTTGCTTCCTCCTTGTTCCAGTTAACTTTCCTCCGGCTCATCTTTCATTCTATTACCAAGTGCTTCTGTTAGCACAGGTGAGCCAATATTCCTAACTATCGCTCTGATTCTTGGATTTAGGGTCTTACCATTAGTTTGAAAAGGCACATTTGTGAAAGCTCTGCGGAAATGAGGGCTCAGTGCTCTCTTGAGTACATTCAAAGCGATGTAAGAAAGACTTGTATACATGTAACTGTCAATGGCCAAGACCACCGAATAGGAGCCAATGAATCCACAAGTCAGGATGTTCAGCTGTGGAAGAGAGGGAAATTTTAGGCTTTACCTCTGGTAGAACAAGAATAGTTGCTAACTCTTATCACTGGCCTCAAACATAGGGAATCACTTCTGCTCACATGAAAAGGACCAAGTCTTAGAGCTGAGTAAAGGTTACCTATAAACTAAGAACAATCTTTGACACCCATAATGAGTTCTTAAAACACAGTTTACGTATATAAAAGGTATCTTCCCTGTGAAAGAACTTCAACAATAAAGTTTAATTAAACGAAGAACCACTTTTTTGCAGAGATGGCTAATGATCTATCAGATTGTTGCATTACAGTGAGTCCAACCTTCTCTGCTCCCACTGTTAAAAGCATATTTTTAAATTTAATTGTTTTATTGAATTTATTGGGCTGACACTGATTGATAAATTACATAGGTTTCAGGAAAACAATTCTACAATATATCATCTGTATATTATATTGTGTGTTTACCATTTAATTATTTAATACTGACAATGGCACCTCCATCAAGCCTCCTTCCATCACCATTTACCCCCTGCCTTTACTCTCTTCTCTCTCCCCCCACTCCTCTTCTCTCTGGCAATCACCATACTGTTGCCTGTGTCCATGAGTCTTTGCTTAATCCCTTTACCCTTCTCACCCAGCCCCCAACCCCCAGCTGTCAGTCTGTTCTCTGTATCCATGAGTCTGTCTCCACTTTGTTAAGTTTATTTTGTTCATTAGCGTCAACATATAAGTGAAATCATATGGTACTTGTGAATAAAACATGCAAACTGGTGCAATAAGTGAACAACTGAAGGCCCAGGACAGTATAATAAATAAATCTAACTGTTGATGAAACACTTACTATTCTTTGGCAGCCCATGAAAATTACTGGAATGAGAACAACTATACAAGAGAAGGTCACCCAGAACACAGCATCATTACTAAATATTGTTAGGTTTCCTGAAAAAGCAAAAAGAAATAAAGAGTAGACATGTTCACTACGTTAAATTTCATTTTCTCAACATCTGAACATGGACATACATAGAAGGTTTAATGTGTAACAACCAGAGAATGTGTTGGCACTTCGAAATGAATTCTCATTTTCTTCCTTTAGCTGTCAATACAATCACCTTTGAAAGGTGTGTCCCAGCAGATAGAAGGGTGGGCGTAAAATCAAGCAGGTAAATGCTCTGCATTTATTCCCAGATGATTTATAAGAGGCCTGACTAATCCATGCTCTTCCATCACAAGCTGTGAAGCTAGGCCTCAGTTCTAAATAAAATGAGAAGATTCAACCACTTCATCTCCAAACTCCAAACCATTCATTCCAGCTCTAAATTTTTATGATTCCATGATTCTGTACTGCAAAGTAAAAGATACAAGGAAATGGGGTTTAGAGCTAACGATATGAACTCCCACCCAACCGAGGCAGCAAAATCCATTTAGTAGATTTTTACCATCAATCAGGTCCTGCCCAGCCACTGCATACTGGAAGATGTGATCTCCTAATGCATCAGGAAAGACAGGAACTAACCACTTATCTGTTTCTACTAAATTTTTCCAAAAGATGGCACACCTTGGGTGACCCAAGATGAACATATTAGAACTCCTATTTATAAATAAATTTAAACAATGAGAATTTAAGCCTGACAATTATTATTATTATCATTTTTAATCCTCACCCAAGGACATTTTCCATTGATTTTTTTAGAGAGAGTGGAAGAGAGAGGAAAAGAGAGAAATACTGATGTGAGAGAAACACATGGATTGACTGCTTCCTGCATATGCCCTGACCAGGGAGGAGCCTGCAATCTAGGTGCTTGCCCTTGACCGGAATCAAACCCGGGACCTTTGATCCGCAGGCCGACACTATCCACTGAGCCAAACCAGGTCGGGCCTGAGAATTATTTAATACTGACAGTGGCACCATCGCTCAGTCCACCTGAAAGTGGCCCCGCATCTTGAGACCCATGTATCCTGGAAGAGTAGGAGTTCTATAAATCCCACATATAAGTGAAATCATATGGTATCTGTCATTCTCTGACTTATTTCACTCAACAGAATACCCTCTAGGTCCACCCATGCTGTAGCAAATGGTAAGATTTCATTTTTTTTTCAGGTTGAGTAATATTCGATTGTACATGAGTACCACAGCTTTTTTTATCCACTCATCTATTGAAGAGCACTTTGGTTGCTTCCATATCTTGGCTACTGTAAATAACACTGCAATGAACATAGGGATGCATAAATTCTTTTGAATTAGTGCTTTGGCTTCCTTCTGATATATTCCCAGAAGTGGAATCATTGGGTCAGAAGGCAGTTCCATTTTTAATTTTTTGAGGACCCTCCATACTTTTCCATCATGATTGCACCAATCTGCATTCCCATTAACACTATTTGAAATAAAGGTTAAAAAAGCTACCTGCAAGGGCCAGGGGGAAAGGGGGGGCTGTGGAAATGAACCTGGCTTTAGGTTTGCTAAAATTAGAACAAAAGGGCCTCTTAATGGTCAGTAGAGGTTGTCAATTCTCTCTGGTCTTAAAAAAAAAATCTTTATAGAGTACCAACTACATTCTGCTATACCCTGTGTTCTCAAAGTTGATAGCCTCAAAAGACAACTATACTTATTTCTAACATTTCCATCTACTTTAATCTGATATTGCAATACAAAAACTAAATATAACATAAAAAAGAAATAGCCTAATAGAGTTCCTTAGAATGTAGATACTGTTTTTCCATGTTTGACAACAATCAGGAAATGCAAGTTATTGCACAACTACAATAAAAGTAACTTACAAGTTAACCAGATTTTTTACATAATTCAAAATTGAATTATGTAAAAAAATCAAAACAAACAAACAAAAAACAACAAAACAGAACCATCCCTGTGCTGCGGCCCTAAGATGACTACAAGTAGGTACCTGAGGAACACGAAGTTTAGCAAAGGGTGGGAGTGGAGGTTCGGGGTAAAAGAGAAGACTGAGAAAAGCACTGAGTTCCCCAAGTCAGCTGCCGTCAAAGCAGCACCCAATTTACCTGCGGGCTCTATTGGGCTTCTACTTAAGATGCATCTGAGGAAAGAGTTCCAGGGTTTAAAAAAATGAAGAACAAAACCCACTGTTTTGCTATATATTAAGAATGCATTTTGCCCCCGCCAATTCTAACAGAAACAGACTTAGACACACAGCTTATCTCACAAATAGGAACAAAGCTGTCTCTAAAGGCCTTCTATAAGTCATCTAGTACAGGTATCTTTGAGGAAAGAGGGCTTCTTATTTGTACTGGCCCTCCCTAAAGTGCCACATCATCAAGTGCCAATTTCCAGAACCCTATAGAAGACCCACATCCCTGATGAGGCAGTACTTGTACCTAGAGAGCCCAAATAAGACCTTTCAAACAATAAACTGAACGCACGCAACACTGAGTTATGCGTCTCTTACCCAACGGAGTGAAAAAAGTCACTGAAGAGACGAAGAAGCCCAGCACTAGTCCAACACACAGCATGCAGAGCGTGAGGATGCCAAATCGCCACCAAGCAGCTACCAAGAAAATCCCACCAAGACTTCCAGCGATGGCTGTCAGAACCAAACGAACTGCACAAAGACAGAAGAGGAACTGTGTGACCAGAGGTGGCTTCTCTGACTGCCTGCTTTAGAGGCAATAGACCATTGCCAGGGCCGCCCTTGGCCTTTCTGTTGGTCAGGCACCAACAGAGGTGGGTGGGCTCTTCAGTGGTGCCATGAGACCAGCATGGGCGTTCTCTCACTCTCGCTCTCTCTCTCTCTCTCTCTCTCTTTCTCTCTCTCTCTCAGCCAGTCTGAGGCATGAACCCTAGCTGGAGGGCTAAACCTCCCAGGACTGGTGACAGGCATGACTTGGCACAACCTATACATTAGGGCTGAGGAAGAAGGAATGACAAGCATTCTGTTAAACATGACAAGGACAGAGGGGTTGTGTTTGTTTTAAGGCAGTGGTTCTCAACCTTCCTACTGCGCGACCCTTTCATACAGTTCCTCATGTTGTGGTGACCCCCAACCATAAAATTATTTTCACTGCTACTTCATAACTGTAATTTTGCTACTCTTATGAATCGTAATGTAAATATCTGATATGCAGGATGTATTTTCATTGTTACAAATTGAACATAATTAAAGCATAGTGATTAATCACAAAAACAACATGTAATTATATATGTGTTTCCCGATGGTCTTAGGCCACCCCTGTGAAAGGGTTGTTCGACCCCCAAAGGGGTCGCGACCCACAGGTTGAGAACCACTGTTTTAAGGTGAAGAAAATCTTAACGTTTTAACTGTTGTAAATCTCATATTTGAGTATACCACCATAGCTGAAACAGGTTTATAATCCATAGGGACCTTTCATTTCCCTAAATACCAAGTAATTTACCAAGTACCAAAAACTTGGAAGAGAAGGTCTGAACAAGCAGTTTAGAAATGATGTTTAGAATACAGGTTTTACATTATTTTACACACAAAATAGCATATCATACACAATACTGGACAAACTGTAGAAGCAAAGGTGGAGTGTAAACACAGCATCTTTCTTTTGAACACCTAATTAAGCTATATTATTTTTACTTACCGTCATACTTAATAGGTGTCAGTCTGGTAATCAGTATATAAAAGAAGAATCCCATGAAGATAAAGCCTATGAAGAATAATTCTAGTAGCAAACCATCAGGAAAGAAAAAAAACACAAGCTATGGTTAGGTATTCTTTTTACAATGCAATTTAAGTATTTAATGTACAAATTCATGCTTCCACATTAGGGCATTTGGAGGAGAGAAATAATTATCTAAAGGCAGGAAAAATGCAGAATTCATAGCAAGTAAATATTACTATTAAATGGGTACACTATTAAAGTGTTAAGCATAGGTTATACCTTCTTGTAGTTAGGTCAATTTCAATTGCTAAGTTGTTCATTTCAGAGCTCATTTTAATACAGTTATACTTCCTTCTTAAAATAAGAATAGTACTTCTGAAATTGCACACTAAATTTCAACTTAAGAGAAAATAAATTGACAAGGTAAAAAAAAAAAAAAGCCACACAACATATTCCAAAGCAAAATGTGACTTTTATGTCTCCTTTTAATTCATCCTTTCCTTTTTAGAATGAACAATCCAACCATTATCTTCATCTGTTAAAATATCTAGTAATATCTTTAGAGCCTTCCATGCAGCTTAGGAATTAAATTCTTTGTTACAGAATCATTCTACACTTTAAGAAATTAAATATTCTTCACAATCATCTCTTCTCAATCAAGAAAAAAAGGTATACTGATGGAGGAAAAGGAATTGCTATTTCAAACAATTTGTTTAAGCAAGTTTATAGAGTTTTATGCGATCAGGATTATGTTCACTCTCCCCCTAATGCTCCATTTATACTCCTTGTTAATTAATTATACATGGAGTCCTACAGCCTGATTTATATGAAACCATGTCGAACACCAACACTGAAATCCACACACATACATATATATTTTTTACATTGATATCCTGATTCCTAACCTGTTATCTTTAACCAACTAGGAAATCTAGCAAGTGAAGAAGTTTGCTGCACAAATCACATTTTATTCCACTAACAAGAGGAGGTGGTAAACTCCATTATTGGGAAAAGAGAAAAAATAAAAATGCAGAGCAACTCGGCAGAATCTTTACTAAAACAACCCAACCACAAGTTTATGAAGACAGTGGAGGTCAACAGTTGCTTACTCTCCTTACAGATCATCAATTCCCCACAGCATTTAAGAAAAAAGACCATGAGGCATGCAATAGCAACTACATCAGACACAATACCTGTTTTCCAGAATCTGTGCCCAAAGAAACAAATGAAGAGACCAAGCAGGGCAAAAAGAGTGAAAAACACTTTGGTCGATACTCTTCCTAAAAATAATGAAAATTTAGTGAATAATACATGCAATTTGTTACTTTGTATTTAATCAATACAACAAAGCTTCATGAAAAAAGCAGTCAACTGAGAGTAATTTATCCCATACATGTATAATTTATTTTAAACACATCCTAGTCACCCCTAAATGAATTATTGTACGTAGGCAATGGCTGCTGGCGTAATAAAATAAAAAAATATGCTTCCTGATAGGAGTATGTAACATATTCTTGGGGGAGGGGGCAGGAGGAAGTGGGAAAGGAGGAGGAAAGAGTATACCTAAATCAAATAATTCTGTTTCTTCAAAAATAAACTATAGCCTTGCCGGTGTGGCTCAGCAGTTGAGTGTTGACCTATGAACCAGGAGATCATGGTTCGATTCCCCAGTCAGGGCATATGCCTGGGTTGTGTGCTCGATCCCCAGGAGGCGGGTGTGCAGGAGGCAGCTGATAGATGATTCTCTCTCATCACTGATGTTTCTATCTCTCCCTCTCCCTTTCTCTCTCTGAAGTCAATAAAAACATGTTTTTAAAAATAAAATATAATAAACTACAATACATTCATCACCATCATAACTCCTTTGAGATAAACACAAGAAATAATCCCTAAACTAAAACCAAATACAAAACACCTATATAAACTCATGTGAAAAAACTCACCACCAATCAAAACACTTAAGACTCAGATGGAAATACCACAAAGACCTACATTTAAATGAGAAACACAAGACAGAAGACCAGAATTTGTAGGACACAATATATACCTACATAGCAGCTTGGATGAGAATGAAGAACCCAAATGAAAGATGAAATGAAAGACAATGCCACATTCTGCTTATTTTAAGACCTGTGGTTGGAAACTGATGAAGAGAAAGAATTTAGCCTGCTCTTTTAAAGGAGGAACTCTAATTCATCCCAAGTTGATGGCCAAAAGCTCTTCTTAAAAGAAGAATGCTAAATAGAGCTATCTATATAAATAAAAAGCCAGCGACCGTAAAGCTGGAACGACCGGAACGACCAGATGCTATGAGGCCCACTGTGGCCAGTGAACTGGGCCACCCCTGATCAGACTCTCCCACCCTGATCAAGGGCGGGGTGGATGGGGCGGCCAGCCAAACTCAACCTTCCCTTTTCACCAGCCAGCCCCACCCCCAATTGC